CTGGGGAGGTGCAGGGCCAGGGGCTGGGCTGGCCGAGCCCTCAGGGGCCCGTACAGCTCCGCTCCTGCCGTGCTCCTGGGGCTCGGCTCGGCTCCCCCGCCGCTCCTCAGGAGCCCGAGTGCCTCAGGGCCCCGCGCCGTGCAGAGAAAAGGCGACACGTTCGGGGTGTGTGCTCCTGGAAATGGGTACCTGCTACTTTCTGAGAAGAGCTGCAGTTTTCTTGTAAGAAAGCACCGCCCATTATGAAGCAAGCCAGTTAACCTAGCCAACAGATTCTGCTTTTTGTGCAAGAGAGAAGATATTTTTCCCCGTAACGGAGCGTTTTGGTCTCCGGTCAAAGTGAGCTGCGTGTGGATCAAGGGAGCCTCCAGGTGCTAAATCCTTGGATGGCCACTGCCACCTTGTGGGTAAATGCACGGCTGTTTGACCAGATTTATAAAGCTGGTCGGTAGATTTAAAAAATAATTGAGAGATTTGGAATTCGATGAGGATGATGTCACTCACTTTTCTGCCTATATGAAGATTCTGTTGTTTATTTAATAATCAGATTCATGTGGTGCCCTGAAAAGCCTGCAATGGAAGTGACTCCTAAAGACTGATTCCTTTAGGGCTCTCTGGTTTTGTCTGTAGGCTTTTTTGTAGTGGGTAACTTAAAGGAAGTGACACCTAAATTCTATGGATCCTTATAAGATCTGTGCTCTAGAGCTTCCTAAAAGAACGCCTTGGCCTTCTGGTGTCTCTGAGGGCCCTCTTTCCTTCATATCTGTCAGTTTTGGGGGAGGTTGATTTTAGGACTGTGCTTTGGAAGTACAGAAGCTTAAACTTATATTCCTGTTTTAGTATCTCCCTGACTTGAAACCTGGAGGGTTTTTGTGTCACACTGTATTTGCTGGTAGCAGCAAACTTCAAAAGAGATCCTCTGTGCTTAAAGCATCTTGGTCTTTGGACACATCTCTTTGGTGGTGGTGTCTCTTCAGCACCAGAAGAAGCAAAACTTACTGCAAGATCTGCCTTTTGCTTTCCTTGTCAATTGCCATGTGAATTTCTGAGCATATTTATTCCAGTTT